TTGATATTCCATATCAGTATTTCCACATAGCCTCAAGAGGTAACCAGAAAAACTTTTGACTGCTCTGTAACTGGTAATTGACATACAAGTTTGGAGTTTTCCTATATTTGTTTTAAAAGTGCATAAAATGAATGAGGCACATAATATATACAAGCAATTGGAAAGACATGCTAGGCTGTGTTTATTTTTCCTCTGCAATGGCAGTTGTTTAATGTGACATTTCAAAAGACTGAAAATTTACCTGTTCAGTTTGGTGAACCTTAGTTTTTCTTTAAAATGAAAGAGGCTTCTGGGTAGGAGTGGCCATTTTCTCAAAACTGAACAAGTTATAAAATTTCTGAAGCCGTACTTTTATCAATAAGTGATGAAGAATTTGAATTCTTGGATACCCAGAAAAAATAATTTGTGATATTCAGTTCAATGCTGTCTCCCCAGTTTGTGTTTTGGTTTTAGCAGCAGGACTACAGAGCAGAAGTTGTATTTTTGCAGACAGAAAACCCACAGTAACGCAGGCTGTGAAGAAAATTAATTGCCTGATAAGGGGAATAAATGGAGCGTTTAGTTGGGTTGCATTAGGTTCTTAAATAATATGTGCCTTTCAAAGCCTCCTACGTATTATGGAGCTATCGTAGTTTAGATATTAAAAGTTACCATCAAAGGTAACATCAAATACTTTACAATCACAACAGCATCGTTTATATTACACAGTATGAGAACAGACGAGATTGTTTTCCAAAGTGAGGGAAACTTTCATTGTATCTTTTTCTTTCTGATTTGTATTAAAGAATTTAATTCAATGTCATTTAAACCTGGCTTTCAATTTTACACCTCTGGAGATCATCTAGCCCAGTATCTTGCTGAATGCAGGTTCAGCTACAGCAGGCTGTTCAGTGCCGTGTCCAGTCGAGTTTTGACCACCCCCATGACATCTCTGGGCAACATCTGCCAGTATGCAACCACCTTTTACTGTATGGGGGTTTGTTGTGTTTTTTTCTTTTTTCATCTCCAACTAGAATTTCCTATATTTCAATTTGTGCCCAAATACATTTCTCATTTACTTTCCTTATGATATGCTTTGAAAATCTCCCTATGAAATACACTTATGATACTGTAGCTGCTTTTCTTTTTTTGAACATTCCTATTGTTATGGTTTGAGAGACCTGAAGTGGGATCGGAGGAAAAAGCAAGGAAACCCAGGAGCTGAAATATAAACAGATTTAATAGAATAAGATTAGATAACTAACATTAATAGCACTAAAGAACCAATATTGATCCGGATACTAGTACAGAATATGCAAAGGTTATACTCAGGCCATTCCTTATCCATAGGAAGCTGTGCACTCCCAGCAGTGGACAGTAAATGTCGGACACTGCGAGCGCTACAGCTTCAGGGGGAAGGGAAGGCCTCAGGAGTCCGGCACCAGGGCACAAAGTTCTCAGGACGGCAGCCATCAAGGGAGAGAGAGAACTTCACAGCAAACTTTCTAATTTATAGTGAATGTGATGTTCACGGTATGAAATAATCTTGTTGGCCAGCTTGGGTCAAGCGCCTGGGTCTCGCTCCTCCTCATCCCCACACCTGGCAAGCTCGAAAACACTGAGACCTTGAGACCCACACACCATAGCTGGCTGTAAAGTAAATATTTTCACAAGTTCAGACACTGGAGTCTTCTAAAAGTGCAGTTTTTCCAAGTATTAGAATAGAAATTAGTCCTGTGTCGCCCTAACCAGGACACCTATTGTAGTGCTCAGCTCCTCTGTCTCCTATCTCACATCTTCCCTCTTTTCCCTTTGAAATTTCGCATAAGTATTTAAGTGAATACCAGCACTTCCATTTTTTGTGGTTTAAATGAGTAATGCAAAGAATCCTATTGCGCACGAACGGTGCAATTTGATAATTACTTGAAACCATCTAGAATATCATCTCTTTCAGGCACCTACTTACACAGGTTTGAAGCCAAACTCATGTATCGTGCACTCCTACAAAAACGGATGAGGCTAAACCGAGAATTAACATGCCTTGATTTCAACTGGGAAATAAGCAGAAGCAAGTGAAGCAGAAGCAGAAATCTCATATTCATGCCAATGCAGCTACATAGGAACATCTGAGAAGAATATTCATTATCCAAGCAACAGACCTTCAAATACAGAATTATTCATGAACAATCAGTGTGTCAGGAAATACAGCTTTTATAGACACAACCCACCTGCAAAGCTGAAGAACTCCTCATATGCAGGATGCATCATAATGTTTGCGCTGAAGCAAAAACAGCCGAGTACCCAGGCTACATGGGAAGCCAATATCCTCTGGAGTTTGGTTCACTGGAAATCGATGCAGATGGCTTTTCTCTTATTCTTTTAGGTTAAATTTGAACAGGTATATTACATGACCAAACCATAACATTTAGATAAATGCATGCGGCCACTGCAGCAGTTCTGGTTTTTTTTTGCTTAGGGATTATATTAGTTTAAAGGTGAATGGTCTCCAATCGCATTCCATATTTCCTGATTTTTAACCTTAAATCACTTAATTTCCATATTTTCATTTTCCACGCCTATGAAAAGAGAGTAAGGTTTCTGTTTTAACCCTTTGTCTATGTGAAGTGACAGTATGCAGCAGGCTGCAAATCTCAGCTCCCCAACTCTGTTGCCCACAGGCTGCCGGTGCAGTCACTCGTTGGAGTTTGGCTCTCAGGGTCTCATGGTGTGTTTGCCTCTGTGCTGGGGCTGATGACAGTATCACTGTCCACTAGGTCTGGCTGGGATGAAGTTAGTCTAGAAAAACTTCTAGGAAAAATGTGCAGTAAAATATTTATAAAAGCTACACCGTAAATACACAGTGAAATATCCTTTAACCTTGTACTTACTGCTCCAGTAAAGACAGAAGTTCCCAGAAGAACAGAAACTCAAGCCCTAGGAGGCAGTACAAAGCTTGACAAAAGCCCTCAATGAAGGAGATGCAAAGGTGAGACTTCAACAAACTTAAGTGTTATGGCCACACTGAAAACACGTGTCTCCTAAAAAGACACTAACCAGCCTGTTTGGAGAGGCAATCCCACGCTGAGTTGCAAGTCCACCTTCTCTGCTCTTACTCATGTCACACAGCTGCTTTCTATGTGGGTGGTTCCGCTGTCTCGTGGAGATTTGCGTGGAAGACCACTGTCACTCATGGCACTTCCTCAGAGCTCTGCAGACACCGGATTTCAGTAAGCAGAAGCGTACACAGCCTTGAGGCATGGGTCGGTCCTATTGAGTTAGGAGCTAGGTTTCTGTCATATGACTACTGAATGTTATGAAATGGTAGGCATAATACTTCAAAGAATACAATTTTTAGCCAAATCATACCTCCTTTACTCCCAAATAAGCAGCATCTCACTGTGGTAATGAGAGGTATACAATGAATAAGGTACCCTTTTTATAAAATGGCAACAGAAGTATTTATGTTTGTATCTGGAAGTATACTTATAGTCTACGTACAGATGAGATATGGAACACTTCCTCCCTTCTTCCAAGAAAACAAAATATCTGTACTCCATGTTACCTTCCATTGCCACCAGCAGACTGAGTGACAACCCAAGCATAGTATTTTCTGTATCCCTGCTAGGAATTCCAGCTACTGGAGAACAACACTTCCAGTACAATGTTTATACATGTGCACATCCACTTCAGGGAAGGTTATTATTTACTTGATTTCTGTGTGATTGAAAACTATTTAAACCAAATAATGTCTTCCCCTCTTCCTGTTCTTCTTGTGGCTAGACTAATACCATGCATGACTTCACCACAGGACTGTCTGTGCAAGAGAAAGTTTCTTGATTTCTGATTCTGTCACTCTTCTTCCTCTCCTGTACCTTCACTGGGGAAAATAACACCCAGTGATAGACAGACACGTGCTCAAAATGCAGATGTGAGGTGGTAACTGGCATCCACAGATGTCACTGGCAAAAATCCCATGGTCTTCAGGAGTACTGGAAAATCATACTTCGTATGGATGCAAACCTGGTAACCGGGTTACACCATGGGAGTAAGTAGCAAAGGGTAGGTGGGAATTTAAGCAACAGTCTTCTGGTTTTAGATATTGATTCATTAAGTCTTCCCTCTAGCAAAAGCTTACAGGTAAGCCCATGCTTAAGGCTTTTTTGAGCCATTGCCTTAACAGACATTCAAAGCAGATGTCACGTAGGAGTTGGTGATAAACTAAACTAAACCCAACATGAATCTAAGCAAAGGCTGTTGATGGCTGAAGCAGGGAGATGCGATTCACCTCGAGTGTAGGCAGGGCCAGCTCCTGTGCTGGAAATCCGTTGATAAATTCAAAGAGTTGGCTCAAAACCTTTCTCCTTAACGCACTGTGTCACAGAGCCCATATGGACCACCAGAAAGAACCAAAAAGTTGAACCAGAGGTTCAGGGGATGGCACAGCTACTAACCACCTCTCCTGTCCATGGATTCACAGCATGGAGCCACGTTGGTTTGGCTGCTCTCACCTTTCCAAGCTGTGCTTCTCCACATCCATTATGCGTTACATTAACGATGCCGCCTGGTTACTTACCATCATTTCCACCCACTGGGCCATGCAATACTGTTTACATCACAGAGGAATCTGTCCTGCTGGAATGTGTTAACATCTGAGCTGAATATGAGGAATTGATTTTGAGAAGCCAGTTTCGTCCTACCCACTGCTCCAAGTTCTCTCAGCTGTGGACCAGTAGATATGCACCAGTGGAACTAAGAGAAGGAACTGACCCACTTCTACACTACAGCAATATTTATAAATGAACGCATGTCTTCTGAAAGCATATTCTACTCCATTTTTTCCAAAAGTGAAAATGTCGAAGTTTTGTCATGTGCTGGCTCTTTCCTGGCCAACTATACTGAAGAAAAAAAAACCAAAAAAAACCCCCAACCAAACCAAAAAACTCGAAAGAAAATCTTCATATGATGAAACTAGAACAGAAATGCAATATTTTCGCCATGGTGCACAACAGGACAGGCAACGATACAGTACTTTAATCTGTATTGTCTATATAAAACATTTATTTTTAAGCTCTATAATGGTATTATAGAAATACATAGAATATTTTATAGAGTGTATTTTAGTGTACTCACTGTGAAAATAACACATTTATTAAGACAGGTATTCTTATGTCCAAATGTTTTAAATATATGCACTTCTTTGCCTTGCAGTATTATGTTACTTTGAAAAACAAAATATTGATTTTATTCTTTGCTCCTCACCAGAATCTTCTCATTCAGATTTCCCTGGGTCATCTAGGGTGCTCACTGCTGTGAGATATTTTATAAAAACCATGAAAAGTACTTAGGTTTGTAGATCTCCTAGATTTGTTTGCATTCATGTCTAGTGCACATAGCTTGTCGTTCAATTCTCCAAGTGCCTTCTTCGTATGTACAGTGACATATAGTGCATTCATCAGTTTTCACCTCCCGGCCTGCTGGAATGACAATGGTTTCTGCAAAGCAGTTCGGGCCTAAAAAAAGGAAAGAGTTTATTACATGATGGCCGGTGCAGACTGTAATCCAGCACAGTTCCGTTTCAGCCTTGAGGACGGAAAACCCAACGCAAAGCGAGTAACGCTGGGCACATTAAACAATGTGAGCATCACCCCCAAGGCAGCAAAGCAGCAAAGAGAGTGAGGACTCTGTGCTCAGATGAGGCTGGATATTTTTGCTACGGGCTGTCCTGCCCTCCACAGGGGAGGATGCAATAAAGCCTTTCTGTGAAACACGCAACAGTGACAGAGACCTGGGCACAAACTGACGACGCAGATGAATACAGATTTAAGCTAGAGAAAAAGACCACCACTGATAATGCAACAGTGCAAGTTTAAGCTACCAGAGAGCTGATTATAAATGTTATTACTTTTTCTCCATTGGAAACATGCATTGTATTTTTGTGTAGTAATCAAAGCCTCAGCTTAGTTTATTTTCCATTTCATGTGAAAATAAGTCCTTTCCCAGTAGAACGGAATAGCTCCAGGCTCTTCTGAATGAAGACGCTTTTCATGAAATATTCCATCTTACATATAAGTCAGCAAGTCTACAGACGCCCCTTTTCATAGTACACGGAAATAACTCTGTTTCCAAGGACAAGGCAGGAGAATGACCCATCAGCACAATGTTCACAAGGCAAATCGGGTTCTTTCAAAAGGTGACATCCTCGCATGTCTCTGCTGCAGAAGGCTGCAAAGTGCTGTATTACCTACAGTTCTGTTAAAAAAAGAAGTCTATTTCTGCCTTGAAAATCCACATGTGCTTGTAAAGTGCCGCTAAAACCTACCCATCATCTCCTTTCGATACGCTGTCATGTCCCCAGAGGAACTCGGCCCTCCCATTCACTAAGCACACACAAGAGGTGCTCAGGCAGAGGCCGGCCACTCAACAGCACCTCGGTACCACCATCCACCAGGGAGGGATGTGCAGTAGGGACCAGCATACATTGATCAGACACAGCTGAAACTCTTGAAAGAATATGGGTGTGCAAAACGCTTATCAACTGCCAACCTGTTTGCCACGGAAGGAGATAAATCACAGATGGGGTTCAGTCTTCCATTGCCAGGGGTCTACGGTAAGACCTATGGCAAACAGTACAGCTTATTCCTCTAGGGCAAAGTATTTATTTTTTTTAAGTGCTTCCTCTGAAAACCAAAGGTAGGTGCACGCTGCACATCTTAAAACACAACCCAAATAGTTCACAAATCAATTTTCATAGTAATCTCTTTGGATCAGGTTATGTGTTAGTGTACTGACGCTGCAGCCTGAGAACTGGTTGCCAAATTGGCAGTAACAAAGGCCTTTCCTCAATGAAGAGGAAAGAAGGGACCTGGAAGACTTGCAGAAATTTGCTTCACCAAATTGTACCCATTAATTCTCTGAATATCTAAGCCAGTGTTTTGTTTTACGACTGACTATTGACAAAGATCTCTAACATGTGGCTTCTTTCCTAGTTTTGGGTGGCTTCTGGCCCATCCAAGGCTTTGGATGCAGAATGGATAGCAAAATACAGCGTATCTCATGTAAAGTGACCTGCTTTACTAAATTTATGTTACTGTGGTACATTTGTGTTTTCAGCCCCCTCAGTCTGTCCATGCAAAGTACCACTGGGCTGGACAACCCAGGAAGGAGGACTTCAGGGTGGAAGACATGCTCGTGGGTCCCACCGCACACTGGGAGGTGCCTTAGCTTTCAGCTGAGATAAAGCAGTATTATTAACTATACTGTCCCTGGTGGAACTTTGAAAGATTTCAACTCTAATCTCTATAATTCTAATTAGGATTCAGTTAAATCCAGTATTGTTCTTGCACCTAATAAACTTTAATCCCAAAGTGGGTTCACTTGCACATTAGGTAAAGATACTTGCGTGTTTTGCATGCTGGCCTGTAACAGCCCCATGATTTACAAAGCTGTATCATATAAGCAGGTAAAATATTAAAAGCAGAATCTACTTTCCGTGGAGAATTTGTATGAAACCGACAGGAACACTTGAAATTTAAACACCAAGTAAAAGGCACAAGAGGAAAAGTGATGTCAATCCCCTGTGCAGGATTTATTTCATTCTGGGAAAGTAAATGTTACAGGGTATGTTTGGTTATAAAAATCAACCAGGGAATGAAATAAAAACAGTGCAACACACGTAATGTAATTCACTAGGATTCAGAATGTAAATGTCTCCATTCACAATTAGCAACACCTTAATGCCAAGCATCACTAGAAGCATCTTTCTTACATCAGAAAGTTATTAAATGTACAGATACAACAAGTTAGCCCCAAATTGTTAAACTGTTTACTATGGGGGAAAGTCATTGCACTGGGAAATCTACAGAAGAGCAGTAACCATCTACTTGAGCAAGGGACCCTACAAAAATAAATGACAAAGTATGTTATTGAGCAAGCTAGATTATTTTTTTAGTATCAGGCAACTTTTCTACAGAAAATTGCCTATTTTCTGGTTCTGCATTTGCACCCATCATTACTGTAACTGCAAATCCTATATAGTACTCAGACTGGCAATAGTCAGCTGGCATCCTTGCCTCATCTTTTTCCTTGCAATACTGCGTGCAGCCAATATTGTCGTTAATGTTACAGAAAAGGTCATCAACAAAAAGGCTGAACTGACTATATTACATCAACAGCATGCACATAAATGCCAGTACAATATAGTGTCCAAACACGGGGAAATAATTCCACAGATCTCCTTTTATCATTTCTCCAAATCCTCAGACTTCTAGGGAAAAAAACCCAAACCTGAGCTTCCCCTGAAACTTCATCCAATTTTGAAGCCGTATGAGCTAGTCCTGGCTCTTGGTGCCCTGTGGCTCCCTTCCTACCAAGCAGGTGACGCTCCTCCCTTTCCTTTTCCTCAGAGGAGCGGTCTCACAAACCAGACATACAGGGCTGGACCGGCCAGAGGAGACCAGCCTGCAGCGATGGGGGACACGTGGGGCGGCAGCAGTGGGACCCTCGGTGTGGGGCTGTTCCGGCAGAACCTGTGCCTCCGGCAGCCCTTCCCCGGCCCCTGCCAGTCGGACGGACGGTGCTGATGAAGCAGCTCATGATCTGATCCTCCGTCTGCCTAAAATCACAGTGGGGAAACTGAGGAATTGAGGATTTTAAGCTGACAGTGGGGCGAGGAGGCAGAGCAGGCACACAAAGGCTGATGTGAGACTCAAGAGTGCCATTTTCTCCCCCTCCCTTAGCAGAGGGAGGCAGATGCACGAGTATCCTCCACATTCAGAGCAGATAAGCTGCCCTGAAGGCATGGCATTTGCCGAAACTACTGCTTCCCCTGAAACTGGGCAGTTTATATTGATTTAGCAAGATTTGCAGCTTCCCATCACAAAGGGCGAGACATTTTGTGACTTTTTAAAAAGTTTGCACGATTACCTGACTTAGCGCATGAAAAGCATTTCCAAGCAAACTGGGGCTGTTCCCACTCCAAAGCGGCGGTGGGCTTTCCGACTAGATGTTGCCGCTGCAGGAGAGGTGAACAGTGAACACCTCCTCCTTGGTCTACAAAGCAGGCTGGCTGCTTTCTTGAGCTCCTGCTTGGTAACGCCACTACTCTGCCCAACTTTAGCACCCGCTGCTCGTTCAGTGCAGCAGCGGCTTGTTTGAGCTTGTTTGATCTATGGTATAAACCTCCTGGGCCCCATCGCCAACCGTATACACTTATCTAGCTCTAAGGAAGTCAGTGGTGCTGCACATCTTCACAGGAGATGAAGATCTTGCCATATCACTCTTAAATCTGGCAGAAAATTCAATATGACATATTGTACCAATTCCGAGCGCAGCTTGAAATCTACCACGACATCATTCGTTTTCCTAAAGTATATAGTGGCGCTGTCAGACTCCGTTTGAGCCATACCATGCTGGTGCCAGCAGAGATTTCTTTCCTAGGGCTAAGGCACAGTTGCTGCCGTCTCAGCGATGTCTTGAAGCAGCGAGTTCAGTGCAAATCCTCAGTTCTCACACTGAGCTCCAGATTGGGATGCAGCTCTCGGCTTCCCCGCATCCGAAATGCTGAATACTAGCTTCCAAAAGCAACATTTATACTGGGATCTAAGGAACCAGGAAGGCTTATTTGGCAGTTAATTCACTGAGAGTTTATAACAGGGTTCTTGCCTCTTAAATGCTTAAAAACTAGAAAAATTTAAAAACATTATTGGGGTAAACGCTGCTATTGTAATTTTTTTTTTCAAAGTCCTTATGGTGGTCCTGTGAAAAGCTTCCAATGACTTATGTTTTATGCTTCAGTGTTGACAAATGCAACCATCTAATTAAAATGCAAATTTTGTTATCTGGGAAGACAACAGCCGATACCAATTATCAGCAGAGAATGCCCAAGCCGCTCACCTACAGAAGCAATAGCACCTGTAACCTTGACAACCTCGCAAGAGGCTCTCTGAAGCTTCTTGTCCTCCTCTCCTTCCACAAAATCCCAGCTGTACTCTACAGAGTGGTGCCTGTTTCCTCTGCAGCCTGCCCCTCCTTTGGCATGGGCACATGTTCCCATCAGTTAAAAACCAGAAGATACCGCAATTTGGTAAATTGTCTTTTAATCAACTGTTTTCATCATGTCTTAAACCAAATTATGGACAAAGAAATCTGTTAATCTGGAAGTTAATGCGTTTGCCTGGAGAATAAGTCCTGGCAAATTTTCGCCAATTAGAACTACAGTGACAACCTCTGTAATATAACACTTTGATGTAAGACTGCTTTGGGCTCTGGTTTATACTAAACTCCCTAATAGCTGCCCTTTTAATAGCTCCTTGCAGCAGTCAAACAGGTCACTTGTTAGGTACCTGACAGCAGACCCATCTACCCTGACAGTTATATGGCATTCATCACTGTGGTATTAGAGCACTTTGTAAATGACATAACCTCAACATTTAGCTTAGTCCCTACTTTTTTTTTCTCTTTTTTTTTTTTTCTTTTTCCAAATTTCATGGAGAGTTCCAATGGTTACACCATG